ACTACTTCATTCATTTCATTTTGTATAGTACTAGCTAAAGTTTTTAGGCACGAATTTGAATAAAAGGCATTTGTATCATCGGCATATAAGACGAAAGAAAGAATTTTACTGCAGTTTTCAATGTCATTAATGTATATATCTAACTTTATTTATTCTGGATAGCTCTATCAGTTCTAAACTGTTCTCCCAAGAGGTCCAGTAAGGATAATCTCTTATTGATCCAGTGTTATTACAGGAGGAAACCTAAACTAAACTAACTTTATTTATTCTGGATAGCTCTATCAGTTCTAAACTGTTCTCCCAAGAGGTCCAGTAAGGATCATCTCTTATTGATCCAGTGTTACCACAGGAGGAAACCTAAACTAAACTAACTTTATTTATGCTGGATAGCTCTATCAGTTCTAAACTGTTCTCCCAAGAGGTCCAGTAAGGATCATCTCTTATTGATCCAGTGTTATTACAGGAGGAAACCTAAACTAAACTAACTTTATTTATGCTGGATAGCTCTATCAGTTCTAAACTGTTTTCCCAAGAGGTCCAGTAAGGATCATCTCTTATTGATCCAGTGTTATTACAGGAGGAAACCTAAACTAAACTAACTTTATTTATGCTGGATAGCTTTATCAGTTCTAAACTGTTCTCCCAAGAGGTCCAGTAAGGATCATCTCTTATTGATCCAGTGTTACCACAGGAGGAAACCTAAACTAAACTAACTTTATTTATGCTGGATAGCTCTATCAGTTCTAAACTGTTCTCCCAAGAGGTCCAGTAAGGATCATCTCTTATTGATCCAGTGTTATTACAGGAGAAAACCTAAACTAAACTAACTTTATTTATGCTGGATAGCTCTATCAGTTCTAAACTGTTCTCCCAAGAGGTCCAGTAAGGATCATCTCTTATTGATCCAGTGTTATTACAGGAGGAAACCTAAACTAAACTAACCTTATTTATGCTGGATAGCTTTATCAGTTCTAAACTGTTCTCCCAAGAGGTCCAGTAAGGATCATCTCTTATTGATCCAGTGTTATTACAGGAGGAAACCTAAACTAAACTAACTTTATTTATGCTGGATAGCTTTATCAGTTCTAAACTGTTCTCCCAAGAGGTCCAGTAAGGATCATCTCTTATTGATCCAGTGTTATTACAGGAGGAAACCTAAACTAAACTAACTTATTTATGCTGGATAGCTTTATCAGTTCTAAACTGTTCTCCCAAGAGGTCCAGTAAGGATAATCTCTTATTGATGCATGCAGTATTACTACAGGAAGAGAAAGAGGAAGAAACTAGAGTACCTAGATAGTGTGGAAACCTGTTCAGTATAGCCGGCAAACATTGAATACAAAGCGGGATTTATACCTGAAGATTTTTCAAAGGAAACATTCGCGACTCCATTGTCTTTATTCAGCATCATGTCCGTCACTTCACCACCACCGATTTTGGGATTTGAAAATTTATACCTGATATCATCCGAACTTGTTGCTCGTGGTATTTTACTGACTCTAATGCCTTTGGTCAGTGGAGCAAATTCGAGAGAAATAATGGAGCCGTCCAAGTTCATGTCTTTTTTGTTCGCATAATATTCGTCTAAGAGAAAGAAAGATGTTTTAATTGCATAACACGACCACAATAATAGGGTAATACAGTGATCGAAAATCGTTTAGATAATCTCTTCCTTAAAGACCATGTTGCACAAGAAAAATTTTACGATACATTTTTTGAGATGGAGACCCAAAGTTTTCTCCAAAAAGTGGTCAAAAGGAAATTGTGAGAAACCTTGCTCGCAATTTCCTGAGACTGCTTTTCAGATAGCATGGTTGTGTCTCAAGTTGCCGCAAAAGTTTCTTCGTCAATACGTGCGGACACAAAGTATTCACATACCTATTTCATTTTTTAATATCACAATAGCTTTACCATCTTTCCCATAAACAACGTTCAAGACGTCAGCCTTCTTCTTAACTTCGACAAAACTTTTAAACGTTTCTTCGTTTGTTTCAGGATTTATATTTCCTGCCAGCAGAATGCTTCTGTCATGTGTTGGCTCAAATACTGTGCTCACTTTTAACAAGTTGCCCTCCAGTTTAAGCGGTGTTTCATTAGCTTTCCTGAGTACATTTTGTGTATCTAAACATATAAGTTGATAGTTCCATTAGTATTTAAAGATTTTAATGAAAGAATATCACTCCAAGAAAATGCTACAAATGAGGAACTTAAGAGAGAAGCTGGAGTAGAAAGCATAATCGATTTGGACATATGATTAGAAAGGATGATGGAAAATTAGCTAAAGGGCATGGACGAAACTTGTGAAAGAGAGAGATGCGCAGGAAGACAAAAGATAAGATCGGTGGAATAATTGAACTGGAAACTTATGAGAAAGACTGGATGA